CCTCAGGTTCAGGACCTTGCACTTGCTTTTGTTGAACCTCATTAGGTTCTTCTCTGCCCAGCTCTCCAGCCTGTCCGGGTCACGCTGGATGGCAGCGCGGCCCTCTGGAGAGTCAGCCACCCCATCCCCAGTAAGCCATCCCAGTGTCCCCAGGTCCCTGTGCCCGCTGTCCCCAGGGGCACCCCCCCACACACACACACACACCATTGATCGAATGCCAGCCCCAGTCACCCCACCTTGTGTCCCCAGAGCCCTTTCCAGGACCCTCCGCCAATGACCCAAGCCACCCACCAGTACACTCCCAGTATCACCAGGCCAGCCCAGTATCATCCCCCAGAGTGTCCCCAGTCCCCTCCAGCAACACCTGCACAATGTCCTCAGGGATGCCCAATCCCCCTCTCCAGGGTCTCCAAGCCCCTCCCCAGTAACACTCCCCAGTATCGCAAGGAGAAATCCCAGTACCCCACTGGTGTCCCCAAGCAATCCCAGTGTCCCCCCCTCAGTGTCCTCAGGACATGCCACGCCCCGCCCCAAAAAACCCTTCCGAACATCCAGGAGCACCCCAGTGCCACTCCTGTGCTCCCACACCAACCCCAGTGACCCCATCAATGTCCCCAGGCCCCTCAGCGCCCCTGCCCAGTGTCCTTAGGCCACCAGTTACCCCCTCCTATGTCCCCAGTGCCCCCCATCGCCATCCCAGTAAGACTTATCGTCCCCTGGGACACCCCAGTAACCCCTCTGTGTCCCCACGTCCCCGCCCCCAGTGTCCCCAGGCCGTGCCAGGACTCCCCCAGGTGTCCCCAGTCCAGCCCAGTGTCCCCATGTCCTGCACCCCCCTCGTCCCCAGTGCCCACCCCTAACCCCGCGCCCCCAATACGGCCCTGCACCGCCCCCAGTGCGCCCAGTACTGCACCCAGCATAGCCCATCACCTCCCACCTCGCACCCCAGTGCCTCCCGGGACCGCGCAGAGGAGCACAGTACCACCTCTATTGCCCCAGTACCGACCAGAGTGCACCAACCAGTGCACCTCTATTGCCCCAGTACCGACCAGAGTGCACCCCAGTACCGACCCAGTATCGCGCACCGTGTGCCCCCCTATAGAGCCCAGTGCCACTCCTCCGCACCGTGCCCCCAGTACCACCAAGTACTGTCTCCCAGTACCAACTCCTAATGCCCCAGTACTTCTTCTGGTGCCCCCACTATGGACTCTGAATGCCTCCAGTGCCCCCAGTACCAACTTCCAGTGTTCCCAGTACCAACTCCCTGTGTCCCCAGTACAGTCCCCCATATAGCTCAGGACCTCCCAGCACTGACCCCCAGTGCCTCCCAGGACTGCCCAGAGGAGCCCAGTACCACCCTCACTGCCCTAGTACCGACCGGAGTGCCCCCAGTATCGCCCGCTACCACCTCCCGCGCCCCCAGTAGAACCACTCACCCCCCCCCCATGCCGCCAGCACCACCAAGTACCGTCTCCCAGTACCAAATCCTAGTGCCCCAGTACTGACTCTGAGTGCTCCCAGTGCCTCCAGTAACACCCAGTACTGGCCGCTAGCCCAGCCCAGCATACATAACCCAAACACCCAGGCACCACCGCCGCCTCCTTGTGCCCCCCCATCCTACCCCTAACACCCAGTGTCCCTGGCTTCCCAGTGTTCCCAGTGCTCTCCCAGCGCCCCCCCGGCAGGGCTCAGGGGCAGAGTTAAGGGGGTTATGTGATGGGACCAGGCGGCAGCGCAGCCCCCGGCTCCCCGTCCCCGACAGAGCACACGCAGGCGCCCGCATCCATCCCAAAGCCAGTGTTTATTTGGGGGGTTCCCCCAGTTGCAGCAAGGGACACTTGCCTGGCCCCAGCC